CCGGAGACGCGTCGCAGCCGCGGGCTGGCGATGCTGAAGCGCCAGGAAAAAAGTTCTTTAGAAGAAAGGGAACCTGCTCCATCGCCTGTTGCACTCCAGCACCCGCTTCGCTGTGTGGCACCACGTAGCTACGCGCGAATACGATTGAGAGTGCGAGAAGGCACCCTGCAGCTTCTAGTTAAGCACTGTGTGGTCAGCTCCCCATTCATTGCCCATGTAAACGATATCCTGCAGAAATACTCCGTCTTCTGTAAGGGCAGGAAGTACCTTTAGGTCTTACAGTATTTTTTGTTATTTAGTCAGTGTTGATGTTTCAGACTTTGTGTCTTCTGGCTGCTTTATTATGTTGAAAAAGTACAAAAGGTACAGTGTGAGCTGCTGAAGTAAAATCCCCCTCCTTGCATGAAAGTGAAGGAACCTTGGAACTGGTAGCATTTGAGGAAGCAACCGTGTTCATGTATATTCAGTAACTTGAGAAACTGAGCAGAAGCCCTCAGAAGTACAGTATCATTTTGTCACTGTGAAATTGAGATGAATTAAGAGAAACTTGCTAAACCTAGGCTACTGAACATTGTCTCCTTTAGTTAAAAGGGTGTTCTGGAGCACTTGAGCATCAGAGTTTTATGAAAGACTAATTTATTTAAAATTGAATTGTATTGATGGGTGAGGTTTGGGGGTTTTTTTAACCTGTAGTGCAGTGTTTTTGTTAAGGTCTTACAATGAGTTCAATCCTTTCTGGATTTTATCTATGCAATCACTACTTAAAGCGCCACTTGAATATTCTCAGATACTTGGCCTCTACTGTTTGTTTGGGGTTTTTTTGTCCTGTCTGCTCGCTGAGGGTGTATTGATTCTACATTTTGGATGACTGTTAAGGAGGTGCTGTATCACTTGAGTCCAGCTTCTACAAGGGGAAAGGGTCTTATCATTCTTCTTAGGGAGGCTGCCACGTCTGTGTGGAGCTCCCCTGAAGTTACTGGCGTTACCCATGCTTACAGCCTGCTTGCACCCTGTAGATTGTAGGGCTGAGCATTAATTTTCAGTTGCCTTTACTGTTCTGATATTCCTCTTAAAATCTCTTCTGATAATTCCTGATGTGTAAATGTCTGTCTGGTAGCAGACAACAGAGAATCGACCCATTACTCTTGCTGCAATTTTAGCGGTTCTCTAGTAACTAGATTTTTGCAAAGGAGTGGAGCTAAGCAACTGATTTAAAAATAATATCATGTTGATGTTTGTTATGTCATCAGTGGCGTTATGTGGTACTTTTCCCGAAGTTTTTCTCTTTTTACTGTTTTTATTTTTAAAAAGTGATTTCACCTCAGATATCTAAATTTGTGTTTCAGAAATACTCTAAGCTGTTGTGCATGCTAAGTTTTTCTGTGGTTCGTTTGAGTTAGTTTTTTTAGGTATTAAAATATTCTCTGTTTTGCTGTTCACTTTGTCTTTTTTTTCCCCCATAGCTGTTTTAAGACAAGAATAATTATATTTATAAAAGTATGTACAAATTCAAATGCAATCCAAAGTGCAAATATTCTTGGGACAATAATTTTTTGTATCCTCTCTTGCTGAGCTGCCATAAATGTTGTGGTTTAGTGCTTGTAATTTTCTGAAGCAAGTACAGTATAAAATTTTCAGATAGTCTGCATGGCATTTTCTCCTGCTTTGTGATTATCACTGCTGTATAATCTGTTTTAATTTTTTTTCAGAGCAGTTGAACAGATTTGCAGGCTTTGGTATTGGCCTTGCAAGGTAAGAGCTGTGTAGTAATTTTCAGTGATAATGAAGCAGTAAAGCTATAGTTGTCTTATGATCCCTGTGTATCCCTTTGTGTTGTGTTTTTAGTCCAGTAGACTTAGGCAGTTGGAATGTCTTTAGAAACCTACCACCTGAAGTCCTTGGAGGTTTCTGTTCTCTTTAACAGAAGTGTTCCTCAAAATTACTTAATCAGCAGTGAATATAAGAAACAGTTTTTCTTACAGTATGCCCAGGATATATGTACCCTGTCAGAGCAATCTGAAAATGCAGAAAACTGTTTTCACGTTTGCCACATTTATTAATGTTTTTAGGTAATGTGAATGTTTCCTAAAAAGGTGAAAATGTCTTGAAGTATATTGTCAGAGTATCCTGGAATAGCAATGTTGATATAGCCAAGTGGTGCAATAACCATTTTATTTTTTATTATGGTGACACTGATTATTGATAGTATTTTTGAGACAGTGGTGGAATTTAACATGCTTAACATTTTCAGAGCTTAAATTGTCAAGTGTAAGGATCACGATAAGTTTAGGATTTTTTGTAGCCTGCCTGCTCAGTCACACTCATCTGATTAGGTTTTTCTTTGTCAGTGTACTGATGCAACTTGTGAAAGGGTGGGAGGTAGGGGTTTTGTCTTGAAAAAGTTAGGACTAAGAAGAGTTTTACTACTTATGACCTGAATGTGAAACTTCTTAGTGAAAAGTGCTTCTGTCTTCAGAACATGAGAGTACTTGTATTACCCAGTTAGACCAATATGGGAAGCTACGTCAGCTGAGGTTCTTCAAGTGTACTTCAAGTGGAGGACCTTTTACTTGACCACCAGCCTGTCCTCCTCCTTACTGCATAGTTATCACCCTTAATGCCCATCAGAATCTCTTTTAACCAGTTTGACTCACTAAAACAGAAGACTAAGTCAATGAAAGAGCTGGGTTATTTTTTGCTGTAGTTAGGTTGATTTACCTGGGAGCTGATTAGCTGTGACAGCCATTAGACACCAGCTAATTGGACCAGAGTGGGAAGGGATAAAGAAGAAAGACTAGGAATGACCCTTTTTGGCAAGTAATGAGTTGCTTAAATTAGATCATCCCATCTCATGAAACTACCTGTTGCTGCTCTTCTACTGCTTTACTGTAGTGGCTGAGCTTGCTCATTCAGACCCCTTGATGAGCCTGTTCAGTTTGTTAGAATAGAGTTGATGGAAGGAAGGGGGAAAAACTAGCCCCCCAACCCCCAACATGTAAAGAGTTGTTTGATTTCTTTCCAGCCTTGTAAGCTGAATGAGCTCAGGAGAGTACCAGCAGAGGAGTGGAGACAATGGGCAGGAGCATGTTTATCTCCTTCAGAAGCAGATAAATGTTCATGTGGCTCAGTTGTCCTTTTGAACTATATGCTTTGATTTAAGTGGGCATGACAGTTTTCCACATCGCAAGCACCTTGGCCTCTAGGACTAACAGGTGCATGTGGTTTTGGGAAAGAGAGCTGATCAGTGTTCTGTCACTGCTGAGAGCAATTCTGCTTGCTTTTGCATTTGTACCAGATCACTTCTCAGACCCATGTAGTTGAAATCAGAAATCTTGTAGAAAATGCCGAAAAGAAAAGGTTAGTTTTTGTGAAGTTGAGTTGGCTACAGGAGATAGCAGCTGGAGTACAGGGAAAGTTTCACCTCTTTGGTAGCAGCAAACTCTAATTAGCTTAATGGTTACGAAACTGCAGGCTTGGTACTTTTCTGTGGCAATTAGTACTTGTTTAGCCAGAGTAAAATCCCTGTAAGAAACCTACCTCAGATAATCCTGTAGGTTGGTGATCAGAGTTGTTACTTGGGGTGCTTAGACAAAAACCTGGAGGTTTTGCTGTTCTAATCCATATTGCAGGTTTGAACCACATACAGGGAAATACTCAGATCACTTGGGCACTTTGAGATGAAATTAAAAGTTTCTTTGCGTGGCTGTGACCAGGAATCCTACTTTAGAACTGACAGAACTTTCCTATGAAGGTTTAATTGATGTACCATTTTTGGAGGTGATGGGAAAGTTAGTTTTGGACAGTAGCATTTTCTGATGAGAAAAATGTCAGCTGTTAATACCAATCCTCCAGCCCTGCTAAGGAGAGTCTTGATTAATAATGGTACACAGAATTAACATAAAACTGGAAACTAATCCTTCCATAATTCTGGCTCTGGCCAGTTTTGTTCCCTCCTATTTTGCAGAGGGAAAGTTTAAGAAATTTGTTTTGCCTATAAAAATACATACTATGTATATGTGGGCTTTTTCATAGTGAATTTGTCAGGTTTTTGGATACTTGTTCCTTTATAATATTGGCAGGCAATTAGGTAGCCATCCAAAATGCCTCATTAATTCACTAGGTGGTGTATAGTTTTTCCAAATACTGACCTAATGTTGTTAGAGAAAAATAACAAGCCCTGTCTAGGAAATTTATGATGGCTTCCCATGCTTTAAATACACTTTTCTTTTAAAGCCTATTTACAGAAAATGTGTTGGCACATCCTTGTATTGTTCTACGTCGCCAGTGTCAGGTATGTCTTTTATATTACCTCTTCCAGTCAGAGCTCCTGTGTACTGTGATATTTCTGTGTTTTCACACACGGTAGAGTATGTTTACAATTCTTAGGGAGACGCTGCTACATTAACATTTGTAGCATACATCTTTTCCATTCTGAAATTTAACTTACCTTGAACATTCTTACTCATTTTTGTTCGGGCAGTAGAAAAGTAAGTGAATGTGAGAAAGTAAGTAAGCAAGCAAGCAGAAAGTAAGTGTTTCAGAGTCTGCAGAGCAGCTTCCAGATCCCCATTTACAATCAAGATGCTTTGTTTTCTATGTTTCCTGGTTTATGCTTGCTTCATTGTTTACATTTTCAGCTTACAAATACTTGAGAGTTCTGCTTGCTTCCCTAAATTTCAGTGAGAATTTATTCATATTTTGATCCCTTTAGCTGACCTTTGCAGAGATAAAGTGCTTATTTTGGAAGTGCTTTTACCCTTAGAGTTATAACATCTGCAAGTGTGTTTATAAACCTGGCATTTTTCCATATTTTTAACAGGTCAACTACCATGCTCGGAATTATCATCTCACTCCGTTTACTATTGTTAATATTATGTATAGCATCAATAAGACGCAGGTCAGTATTTGGTGTGCAGAGCTGTATCTGAGCAGTGAAGGTTACTATAGCACATATTTACATTGATGTCTTTAACTCTTTATGTATCTGGTGATTAAAAACATGGCCATTGTAAGGGTTTGTTATTTTTAGTTGCAGAGATGTTTCAGGGAGATCATTGTAAATTACTGGTTTTAAGAAGTAAAGTATTTAGTGGGGAAGATTTGCAGATGTTGGAAAAGAAAACATCCCTGAAACTATTTTTTTTTCATTAGGATTCTAAAAAAATATTTAAACTTTATGTGGGTAAAGAGATTATCCAAATGACTACTTCCAAAGATAGTATTACATTAATTTCCAGTTTGGCGTGAGAATGGCAGTCCTGAAACTCAAATCAGAAGATAGTGAGAAGAGACTTTCTTGATTTCTTACAGATGTGCTTTAGCATTTCAAGCTCATTTTATCCAGAAAATCATGTTAAGTTTATAGTACAGAATATTAACATGAGATATGCCTCCAAAATTTTTGACAACTGTTTGCAATTATTGAAGAACAAAAGTTTCATCAGAGTTCAGAAGTTAGTTATCCTCTAAATTTGGTCATAGCGAAGTTTAATTGTAGAATTGTAGCCCTGTGCAGCCTGAATTTGCTGAAGTTTTATAAAAATTAAGATGAAAAGATTTTTGAGTTTTATGTTGCATGAATCAAAATGCTGCATATTTCAACACACAGGGTCCAAGAGCTCTCTGGAAAGGAATGGGCAGCACTTTCATTGTTCAGGGCATAACCCTGGGAACAGAAGGCATCATCAGTGAATTTACACCTTTGCCAAGGTATTGCATGGGGTTTTTTACTGCTTCTAAAAAATGGGGTCATCAGTTGTTGACTTAAAGTGTTAGAAACGTAAGGCTGTTTGAAAAATTTTACTTGATTAGAACAGTCAGACATTAAGTAGGTGTTTTCAGCACAGCGTGGTTGTCTTGGCAAAGACAACCTTGTAATTAGTAAGTGAGAGACTCTTTCTGGGAGCTTTGTATGTTTGGTATGTCTACCTACTGGTCTGAGTATAGAAATAACGTAGCAAATTGTTCTTCAGTATAATTCCAATGTAATAAAAAAATTCTTAACTTGCTTTTTGTATTTTGGTTTATATTGTGTGGTACTAGCAAATAACATGTTTAAAGTAAAAAGTCTAGATTTATTAATCTAAACACAGAAAACTTACGGCTAATGAGCCAGCACTGACATCTTGCTGGACATTTTCACTGTCTTTGGTAGGTGAGAGAACAGAATGGCCTGCATTAATAAATAGAAGACATGGTAAATAAGAGCCTATCTGGCAGTCAGCTTTGTCTTCTGACTTCCTTTACCGACAACTATATGTACATTGTTCAGTATTCTTATAATAAAGGGGTTACAACTAAAAATGAGTGACCACATTTAAAGAGATACTCACCATTCTACTTCACTTTGTCCATCATTGGCTATAGTAGTTTAGCAATATTTTTTGTATTTTGATTTGTGACTCTGCCTTAGAAAATACATTAGGGAGGCAGGCAATTGGGCATAAGGCTGGTTAAATTTGAATGGACCAGTGGGCTTGAGAATTGTGTTAGCTTTCGGAAGAGATAAGTACCTATTTTTAATGTGTGGACAGAGACCAAGTACCTAAAGAACATGGAAACTGACCTCGTTTAAAAGATAAGAAATGTAGGCAGGCTGAATCAAAACTACTATTATGATTCATTGCAAGCATACTAATAAAAGTAAGTCTTTGCAGGTTCTGGCATTCATCAAAAGTGTTAGCAAAAGCATTTTGTACTTAAAGTGTGTGGAATGTGTATTTAAGTTTTTGATCACCTCTCTCTCATATGTAACTGAAGTTCCCAGGCATACACTTTCCTCTGAGTATGACTTGTTTTTCTTGCTTTTAAATACTGCTGTAGGGATGCTTAAGTTCATGAGATGCGATATAGTGTTTATATTTTTGTAGTTCTGGTTTCTGTCCAGTGTCAGCAAGGATTTTCTTCTTGTGGGCTGTTGTTCAGTAGTTTGAAAAGTAAGCTGGTGCTGCTGCCAGAAGAAGCAGTCTTTTCTGTTCATACCTGCTTATTCCTTCCTCAGTGCTACCCCTGTCCTTGTGCCAACACAGTATGTGAACAGTCACGAAATGAACTGCACTGGGGAAGTGATCTGGCTAAAACGATTGTCTTGTACATGCACCACACCATGCAGTTTTCTACTGGATGCTTTCCCTTCCTTTTTAAGGGTAGCATGTGTGTTTGGGCTGTCACAGGGAGGTGAAGGTTATTCCTTATAGCAGCGGTGCCAGCAAATCTGACTTAAAAGGTTATTTAATTACATTATCAAGCTCCAAAGGACACAAGGAAGTGAGATGTCAGTTCCAGTTCTGCGTCATAATATCATAAAAGAACCCTTCTGTTTTAGGAGAATGACCCAGAAATGGGTGTTAATGTTTTTGTGGCAAGTTGACTGTGGTTCAGTACTAGACAAACTCATTCCATAATTGTTCTTCCACTGCAGGAGTAGTTCTATGTAGTGGATTGACAGGTTAGACTTTCACACATTAGTTTGACTGGTTTCATTTTTCACGTCTTTCAAGTATTATGGCTCAGTGGATGTGATCCAAGTGTCCAAAATACATAATGGTAAATGATCTTCCGTTCCTCTTTAGTGACTGACCTATGTATTTAGGAAAGTGGTAGCTACTGGTGACACACAATTCTTCAGAAAGAGTACAGTTTGTTTCTTGGATTTGAGTTGTTGCAACTATAGGTGGTGAGTGAGTGCGATTCCTGGACAAGAACTGAAGCTGAACACTTTATATCTTGTTAATGAAAACATGTAGTCTAGTGTGTCCAACATTTCAGACAAAATATCTTTACGTCATAGCTAGGGCATTTACTGAATGTATGGTAAATACATTTAGTATTTGAATGTTACCTTGAGCTAGGTGGGATTACTTTTTCTATCAAGTGGAGTGCAGTTAGTGTTTACTCTTCATATTTTGAAGTGCATGACTAAAAAATACTACTTTATGGAGATTTTTTTTTAAAGTCATCTTTGCATTAAACACATGGGTTTTCTTTCATTCTACCAGCATATGCTGTAGACTGGTATAAGCCAAAGTCTGTACAGAATTACTATGGAGTTATTAGTCTGACCTATTGTACTTGATTTGGTCTTGTCTAACTGTGTCAGGATGTGACTTAGGTTTTCAGGAAAGAAACAACAACTGGGTAAACATAACCTCAAAGAACAGAAGAAGCATAATCATAACTAAAAAAAATGTATGTTGATAAAGGAAAACTACTGAGATTTTAAAATAATCCGTTATTCCCTGATAATGGCTTTAAGAGTTAGTACATAAGGATGCAAAATAAATGCAAAACACTAAAGCTGGTAGCTGAGAGCGCTATAGACACCTTAATAATTGAAAGCTTTTTCGATAGAATATCTAACAGTCTCGAATAACTTCTAAAACTTAAGCATGATTTAGTATATGTGTCACCGATGTGCTTTTCCGCTATGGGAAATTCTGCAACATGAACTCGGTGGTAGAACACCAATATGAAATATGGATGTTCACACCCATGGAAGAAACGCTTGAGAATAAGATGTTCTTACCCATATTAAGGTAAATACTTTTCTTTTTAGGGAGCTTTCACATAAATGGAACCTCAAGCAGATAGGTGGCCACCTTCTGCTGAAAGGGTAAGTATAGCATGTGTTATTAGCTTATGTCTTATTATATAAATGTTAATAAAACTACTAAATGCATGTTAGTTTAAAGTGCAGCTATGGTTACTTGACAAGGTGCTAATAGTAACTTTCAAATTTGGATTTTTTTTGGAATGATCTTGATTGCATACACCACTTCCACAGGTTATTTTCTCTTACTAGAGCCCTGTGTCTGTATGGAACATAACTAATTTAAAAGATTAGATTCTTTTAGTAATTATGATATCCAAGAGACCTGAATCAGTCTAGTCACATGGAAATAGAATGTAACAGAACTCCAGTGTGAAGTTTATCTCAGCTTGTTGATGTGCATTTTAATAATTGAGTTATGGCTTGTTAGTTTTCTCTTGGGCATGATTTGTTAGATACATCTATGAACTTTCAGCTTATTTGGCTAAAATTATAGTATTGTCATGACCTTAATTCTTATCTTGTTAATTTCTACAGTTTAACAGATGTGATAGCAATGCCTTTTTATTCTGCGAGCCTGATTGAAACTGTACAGGTAACTTACATGTATTTACAACATTTAAAAAAATACTGTTGTTCTCTTTATAGATTAGATTGTGTGGAGAAGTGACTCATTGGCTTTGGATTTGGGTTTGTGTTACAGTAGTTGCATTTGTTTTGCTTGAGGCTGTATGACTTACTGAGATGAGTATTTACTATGATGGGTATATTAGTTGTACTGTCTTAAGTCTAGAATTAGAAAGGATATTTACTATAGGTAGTTGGAATATGTTGTGTACAAAATAAGGACAAGTTAAATCTATACATCCTAGCAGATAAACCGTAACAAAGTTCCTCACGTAAAGGTTTTAAAAGGCTTGCTAGGCAAGTTATTGCAGTGACCCCTCGCCCTATGAAAACTATAAAGCTTTTGCAGTAACTCAGCTTTGTTTTGCTAAAATACTGAACTCTGCTATTTCTGGACTGCTTTCATTCAGTCAACATTTGCTTTACATTTTCATCTAGTCCTTCCTTAGCCATGGAAATAAATATCTCAACCTGTCACTTAAGATACAGCTTAACTTGTTCTCTTAACTGTATGGGGTAACCCGTAGCACTGCATTGCAGATTGTCTTGCGGTGGTTGGTTGCATCTCTTTCTGGAGAAAGAGACAGGGTTTAGCTGTGAAACAGTGGTCCAGGGTAGTTCTCTCAGCTACCTCTATGTAATAAGTTGCTCTTAATTAACGTGATGGTATCCTTGTGCAGCTAATGGGATGCTTACTGTAAAGTGAGCTCTCGTGTGGAGGGTGGTGCAGGCTGGTCACTCACGTCATTTAGTCATCAAAATAATCATTTTTATTTTGTATATTATTTCGTATATTATTATTTTGTATATATACAGTATCATAAATACTGTAGCATAGACAAGTTGTAAGTATTGTCAAGACTGATTTAGATCCAGCAGTTTAAACCTGCAGTTCAGCTGCTGGTGTGCATCTACAAAACGGTGCTTTTTCTGTGGAGAAGAGGCAAACGAGGCAGACTACTACAGTTCCTTAGTTTCAGCATGTACTTTAGAGGCAAGTACTCTTAAGGGACAGGCTTCTGCTCTGTACAGAGGATCCAAACTTAAAGGAGCCAGATGGTACTAGGAAGGCTGTCTGTCTCAACAGGCCATGTTATGGCCTAACAGGAACAGGTGAGATTAAATGTCTGTGTGTGGGGGTAAACTCCCAACAACAAACTCGTATTCTGTAAAGTTACTCTGTGTTTAAGAAACTGTGTTCCTATCTCCTGTTGATTTTTTTTGAAAATAATGTTCCATAAATCCAGCCTGAGTGGTTCTCTGAGTTTTGTGAAGATTTAACTGGTCTCATACTGGGAAGCCGACTTAGGAAACTCATTTATGTCCTGAGGAATGGCTTTGTCCAGAGTGTGCCATAATCCTGGAGCTACAAACAGTGGTAGAACACTGTTCATGTTTCTTGAGTTTATAGCAGGCCACAGAATGGAATGCTTTATTCAAGTGTCTTATTCCTTGTATTTGTATCTGAAAGGATGTTACTTTTGTTGTTGGACATGGCAACATATCTACCAATAAATGATAAAAGACAACATGATTTGGAGCCTGTCTTCTGTTTGCAAAATAAGTAATAAACTTTATTTGCTAGAAAGCAGCTTAATGGGAAAATAATCAAAAAGCCAAACAGCATCTCCTCTAGCCTTTTAGACAGGTGATTATCTCTGTAAAGTATTGCTTATGAAAATAATTCCACTGAGATCTGAGGGTTAAAACTTAGTAGGTTCAGCTGTGTACAAGTATTTACTGAGTAGGTGTATATATGCTGTATGAAATGTATTCTCCAGTTCCTGGAAACCTCATCATGAGCTTTCTTACTAGAAACACAACAGAGATAATGATAGCATTTGTGAAGATTTTACTTGTGCTGTATTAATAAGTGCAGGAAGGCAACTTGGCTTATCAGGTTTACCTTATACTCTTGTGCTGCAAGAGGACAATGATCAGTAACAAGCTATGAAAGGTAAAGATTGTGGGATTTATTACTAAGAGTTTTATATTAACTCTGATAGTCTTAATTCTGATAAATCTGTATTAATTTGACACGCTTCTCCAAGTAAATGTATTTCATCAAAATAACTGTAAATGGTAGAAATGTGCAGCTGTCACATAACTGGTTTTGTCTTTAACATTTCAGACCACATGATGGCGTGTTTGACAACAGCAAATAGCTTTTAAGTGCAGTGACTATAATGATAAGGGCAGAAGAGTATTCAGTAGGGGTTATGATGCTTAACGTGTACTTAAAGTGGGGAACAATGTTATATTCTCAAGTGTTTGAACTAGTTTCTCTTCTGCACAGACTGACTGTGAAGGCCTTTTGGGCTGTTAGTCCTTCCCCAGAGTACTGAGGAATGTTCTGGTCGTTTATCCTGGCATGAGGTCAGGACACAGCTAGCATGGACTCAGAGACTTGGGCATTGAGGAGAACTCCCAAATTCTGAATTTTGGTTGTAACAGAGATGATAAAACACTGAGTTTGTATAAACATTAGAAGGTTGATCTGCAGCTTGATCCTGCAGTCATAGGTGGAGTATAATGGAGTAAATAATTACTAAGTGAATTCTTTATTTTCACTACATGAACAAAATAATTTTTTCTAAGAGGCAGCATGGGTAAAGAGTGCTATTTTAGATGCAGATAATGGAACGGAAATGTTCAGAGCTGAACCTATTAGATTCAAATTAAAAATTGTCTTTCAACTCAACTTCAATTCTGAAAGTTTTTATTATGCATATACAAGTTCAGAGACTAGAGTTATAGTCCTTAAAGAAAAGGACTTCTGAATTTCATAAATACTTCCTGTCAGTTTGCTTCAGAAGTAGGCGTTTTCAGTACATGACTGCTTTGCAGAGTGATACTTTCAGCAGTAGGCTGAAAATTGAGTTTCTTTGGTAGCAGCACAAAATAACTGGAATGTACATTAAATAAAGACTCTTTAAGGTGGGCTTGGTTGCTGGGTTTTTTTTTTACTTCAATGCTATCAAGAGTGTTGGAGCAAAGAATTTATATCAATATAACTGTGTAGATATGATGGCATGCAAATATTTAACTCTTATAAAGTTCAGCAGTGATAAAGTGTCAGAAGTGGATGTCAGCATGGTTATGAAATGCGTTGCACAAGTTCTAACTATTTCTTTGGGCTTGTAGAGCGAAATAATTCGAGATAATCCTGGCATCCTGGACTGCGTGAAAGAAGGAATCGGCAGAGTTGTAGGCATGGGAGTACCGCACAGTAAGCGTCTCCTTCCTCTGATGGTCTTGACTTTTCCAACTGCTCTACATGGTGTTCTTCACTACATCATTAGTTCCATCATCCAGAAGCTTGTTTTGTTTGTTCTGAAAAGGGATAATTCCCACAACCTTCCAACTGAGAGCTCCGCTTCTGTGCAGAGCATGCTGGATGCGTATTTTCCAGAACTAATTGCTAGCTTTGCTGCTAGCCTTTGTGCTGATGTCATGCTTTACCCACTGGAGACAGTTTTACACCGCCTTCATATTCAAGGGACACGCACAATAATTGACAATACAGACCTTGGCTATGAAGTGCTTCCAATCAATACTCAGTATGAGGGAATGAGGGACTGCATAAATACTATAAAACGGGAAGAAGGAATGCTAGGTTTTTATAAAGGATTTGGAGCTGTTATAGTACAGTATACCTTGCATGTGGCAGTTTTACAGCTTACCAAAATTATTTACTCAACACTGCTTCAAAATGTTTCTTAATCTGTTCGAGTGTGGATTCAGCACAGTGGACATGATTGATTTACTAACCTAATTATTATTTAAAATGGCTTAGAAAATGAAGTTTGAAGAATCTGCTCTGTGGATTCTCCTTTCACTGTAAAAGAACTTGTTTTAAAAATGGGGATATAGATTCCTAAGTGTAATTAAAAAAGTACTGTTTAAAAATATAGACACAAATACAATGTGCAGTCATAGAGAAGGGAATCAGATTTCAGGTGTGGTTGGAGTGAAGGTTTACCTTTCCTCTTACCAGTTAACTGACTGAAGGAATGGATACAAATTCTTAATACCAGCTTTACAAGCATTACATCTGATATTTAATTTGGACTGCTAGCCAGTTCAAAGGAATTTATTTTCACAAGTTGTAAGAACTTGCAAGTGGGAGACTGCTAAGTTTACTCGTCTTTTAGAAACGTTTTCAACTTCACTGTTAATGTAACTGTGAGCAAAATAGAAACTGTAAAAGTAGCTTAGGTAGACATACATGTCATAATTTACAATTTTGCTGTAGTGTGGCAGAAGATGACGAAGAATCTTTTGCTTTGTATAAAATAACAAAAACTTGGGTTTGGGCAAAGTTGCATAGAATGCAAATTTGGCTGTCTTGCAGTTTGCAAGGCTTACAGTAACTGAAGTGTGTGAATAAAGCAAATTAGAAACTGTGTGCATGTGTAAGTGCCATTTTTAGTTGACTTCCCACTCATAACTTCAGGGTTTAGTTTTACTGTGCTACTTCATATAAGAGTAGAATAATCTTACAAATGTATCTAGTATCAATGTTCAAAGTGTATAGAAAGTGTAAAAAATTAATTGGCTGTTTTTAATTTCTCTTTTGTTACATCAGAGAGGTATGTACACAATTATCTACTTACTATTTAGCACTGATGTCCTTCACTTAAAGTCTTTGCTGGATTAGATATTTTGTGGAGCAGAATTAAGTCTGTTTATGTGCAAGCAAACTACTGAAATGTACCATTTTTGCCCTCTTCCCCTATAAATCAAGACTTTCAGTCTGAAAATTAGTTCTGGTCATTCTAAATAACTTAGTCCTTCTTGGTTTCCCAAGAAGGGAATTCCCCCTCCTCCGCTTTGGGGGGGAATGATTTTTAGCAAATAAGGATGTGGAGAGTAATTTCTAAATTATATGAGAGGCTTCTGGCTTTTTCACACTTTCCTGTGACAAGTCTATCTTTGTGAATACTGTAAATTGATGTGCATTTTAATCATTAATCATTGTATAGTAGTTACTGCTTTTGGAAAATAGTCATGGCAAAATAATGAAAAGATGTTGCTGTTCCTAAGTTCTGACTTTAAATTGATTGCAAGTCTACTTTGTTATTATTAATCTAACTTTCATGTATTTTAAATGCGTAAGTGTTGGAAAGTATAGTGAACTTGGGAACTGACTTTATTTTGAAATATTGTTAATTGCAAATTTAGTGTTACAGAATGGAAACAATGAAATAAAATGAGAATTCACTGCAAATATTTTGAAGTAATTCACTGAAGAGGCATGTGAAGGAATCTCAATTTGTGTTATATTGTATTATATACACTTCAGAGTGGCTTTTCGAAGTTCCTCAACTTTCCTAAGTGCAAGAACATGTTGAATTAAACTACATGCAAGAACTTGCATAAAATGTTCAATTCCTGGTTTATATTTTTGAAGTTTCTATTATTATGAAGAGAGCTGTATCAGAGAATCATCCACATTGGAGAGGATCTTGGCATGTCATCTAGTTCAAATTCCTGCTCTAAGCGAGGACAACATTGACTTCAGACCAGATTGTGCAGGCCCTTGTCCAGTCAAGTTTTTAATTCCAACTTTTAATACATAAAACTGGCCTTTCCAAAATGTTAAATTCAACTGAAGCCAACTATTTAGTCACAGTTGCCTTGAAGTAGTAACTAAATGCACATTGGAGACCAACACTTGCAGATGTATCACTGAAATGGGGCAATAATGTTTTTCTAGGAGTACAATTTTGTCATGTGAAATGGAGAACATGCATTTGTATATTCTGCAAGAGAGAAGTCTGAGTTCTCAGAACAGCACTAGATACTGTGCTAGAATATTAACTTGTATCAAACACTCTTGCTTTTGTTGCTGGGAGTTCTACAGTTCTAGTCTATGCCAGAGTCTCAGATCTGTAACTTGAAGCAGGGTGAGAATGCTGTCAACTTGCAGCAGCTTTTCTCCAGTGGAAAAGCCATTTGCTTTGGGCTATTGTTTTTTGGCCCTCTTCCCATCAGTTAGAATTAACATCTAGATTCTTCATGTGGACTTGCTTTACCTTCCAAAAGAAGTAATACTGTTTTGTCTGGAGATGCTATTTTTGCCTGTGCAAAAATGTAGATGAATGTGGAGGTGAAAAAAACTCTTTTAACCTTTTTAATCATAAGTGTACTGTTAATGTATTTATTTTTCGCTTGAATTTAAATTTAAGTACTCAATTTTTAGCTCACTGAATGATCAATAGGTGGCTTTAGCAGGATGTACTACTGAAAACTACAAAGTGCTGAATTGCTCTAGAAAGTAAGTTTTTTAATTTTCTGAAATATGAAAAATTGCTATGCACTCTATTTTTCCCAATACAAACTTATTTCCTTTTTTGTACATTGTTTTTCTGTCTTTTTTTTTTATTATTTTTAAAGTAGAGAGCTGATTTCAAGAAGATAAGTGTTATGAAGAAAGACAGACTCAAGTGTAGTGTTCCCGCCTAGTGAATAATTGCTTGGCTGCTTACCCATGCCTCTTGAAAGGAAAGTCTTGGTAGGTGATAACTGACAATAGGCAGGAAACTTTGAGATATGAGGCCTGCTGGAAACCATTGCAATTATCTGCCTGTGTTGTTTCACAGACTGCCTCACACATCAGACTTGACTTTTGGTTGTGTTATATAGGCGTGAACGGTTCGCCCACTGCACAGTCGTCTGCAAGAAGCACCGCGGACCACGACATCACTAGGTGTCAATACTGTTAAGTGGCCCAAGCTACAAGGCCCTCCTTTGAGATGTGAGGGGATACCAAGCCACACTCTGTCTCTGCAAATAAAAACACTCCGGGGGGGTAGGCTTAGTGGATGGTTACTAGATCGTGAAGCATTCCCTGCTGTATAATCACACCAAAAATTATCATTTCCATACATAATCAAGCTAGAATTCACACATTATCCCATTATCTGACTTCCCCCTAAACAATCAAAATATATGCAATAACTCATTTTTACAGATTGCAACAGTTCCATCTCTTGTTCAAGGCCACTCCGGCCTAACGTAGAACCCATTCATCCCAGCCATCAACCTTCTGTCCTGCCCTTTTGGCTGGGGCAATCCACACACTCTGCCCTGGCCGCGAAACTATCCATCCATCACTGGCACACACCATCCACCACAGGCCGAAAACAACGAGCTGGAACCCACTGAGGACCGCCCTGTGTGGAGACACAAGCAAACCCTCTTCCCCATGTCAGCAGTTCACATGAAGGGGACCATTGACCCATAACCAGATCCTTCACTTGCACCTTGACCCCTAGTGTTATCCCAGAGGTAGGTGCCAGGGATCAAAATGCCACAGCATTGGCGGCTGCAGTGAATCGTCTGTTACCTGTAGAAAATTTAAGACATACATGTCTTTATTAAGGCGTGCTTCCGGACTTTTGCCCCCCATTCCCCCTTTTTGTTTTTGGAGCATACGCTTCAAGGTGCCATGGGCACGCTCCACGATAGCTTGTCCTGTGGGAGAATGAGGGATACCGGTCACATGTTGAATCAAAAACATGCACAGCCACAGTCAAATCAATTCTCCACACTTGACTTCTGCTAATTGCTTGTCCTACATCTTCAATCACTTGTTTCGCTTCAGGTGTTAATTTTCGAGGAGCAGCTATATTTGCGTCCCCCTTCAAAAGGTCCAAAAGTGGCTGTAATTTAGATGACGTCAACCCTAAATAGGGTTGAATCCAATTAATCATTCCTGCCACCTTTTGTACGTCATTCAGCATTTTTATATTCACTTCTAACCGAATAGGTTGCGGCCTCACCACTTGATCCAACACTTTCATTCCCAAATACAACCATGGCTGCTGTCACTGCACCTTTTCAGGCAGCACAATCAATCCATAATTTTCTAGTGATTTGTGCATGTCCTTTTCTATTTCATCTAAAAGAGGTAAACAAGGTGTGGCTAACAAAATATCATCCATATAATGATAACAATAACACTGCGGACATCTTCCTCTGACAGAAGTCAATGCTTTTGCCACAAACCATTGGCAGATTGTTGGGGAATTTTTCATTCCCTGTGGCAATACCTTCCAATGATACCTTTTGGTAGGCTCACTGTTGTTTGCGGATGGTACAGCAAAAGCAAATTTTTCCGTGTCAGGTTCTGCTAAAGGAATAGTAAAGAAATAATCTCTTAAGTCCATTACCACAATATCCCACTTCATTGGGATCATCGTGGGCGATGGCAGGCCTGTCTGCAAAGCCCCCATTGGCGCCATTACATCATTTATTTTCCTAAGATCATGCAAAAGTCCCCATTTTCCAGATTTTTTCTTAACTACAAACACAGGGGTGTTCCAAGGACTATGAGAGGGTTCAACATGTCCTGCAGCCAACTGCTCTTCCACTAAAATTTTTCAGGGCCATAAGCTTTTCACGACTGAGGGGCCACTGGTCTACCCACACCGGCTTGTCTGTCAACCATCGCAAAGCCAGAGTCGGTCGCTCTTTGGCCCACATTACAGTGGCCCCTACTGAAAATCCGTGGTTAATCGCACCCCCCACTGCTGCATCAAATCTATTCCTCACAAATTCATTGGCAGGGAAGTGACATAGGGCCGTATTGTAGCTTTCTGCCCTTCTGGGTTACTTATCAGCACAGGTTTGGCTGCCAACAGACTATGCTGAACTCCTCCCATTCCTAAGACCCCTTCACTGTTTGAGACCACAGGCCACGACTTAGGCCAGCGGTGCAAAGATATAATTGTAACATCCGTGCCACTATCCAATAATCCAACAAGTTTAAGGTGTCTTGGAGAGGCACCATCCGTAGTCAATATACAAGCCACTTCCGGACGGTGCTCTGCAATGCTTTGTGTCCAATATACTTGTGGTTTCCTGGTGGATCCAAAGCTGTGATCCCCAGGAATTGTGGTTCTGTTCTTGGACAAGTTGCGCAATCCGTGTTCCTGCTTTTATAGTCACTGGAGGTGTCGCGGTAGACACCATTGCCATTATTTGTCCTACAAAATCAGCATCAATTACTCCCACATGCACCATTAATCCCTGCAGGTTACTACTTGATCGTCCTATCAATAATGCACTTAGTCCTTGTCCAATGGGGCCCCAGGCTTCTAGACCCATTGCCTGTGTAGTTAAAGTCACTGTGCAGGAGGTGGATACATCCAGCCCGGCTGACCCCTCGGTCCTTCTCCATAGCTTGTTGCAAAGGGTTGTAGTCCCGCCTGTGACCCTTGTAGGGGCCAAGGCCCCCTTTGAGGGGTCATTTTTGTCTGCATGCGTCCCCTCGCGCTCTTCTTGCCGTTTCCCGAGCCCAACGGCTGCCCACTTACATGAAAATGAGATTTACACTGCTTTGCAAAATGTCCTGGCTTTCCACATCTTAAACAATTTACAGTTCCCACAGCCTGAAAAAACTGCCCCCTTTTTTTATTTTCATTCCAACAATCAGCTTTTTGGTGGCCAGCCTTCTGTAAATCTTGTATTGCTTTCCAAGCGAATGCAATGTGCTCATCGTTCTGGCCCTGTTGAGTAGCACAAATTACTGGAAGTGCCTTGGCCCCAGTAGGCTCTTTTTGAACCACAAGGCACCTGCTTCTCAATCCGGATGTCTGGATAACCTCAGATAAGTCCCAATTCCCCTCCTCCATGGCTTGCTTTTTTACCTCTTTCCAAAAACTAACAGGGTCTCTGGGGAGGACCATTATCTCGGAGGGGGTTATTGTCCAGGGCCGAGGAGGCCCACTGCATTCTGCTTGCGGTTCCTCATCATCCCCCCCGTCATCCCCCAGTTCTTCAGGTAACAGGGGGGGTAGAATCCAGGAGCCTCCGAGTCCGTAACCGATCCCCCCACTGCCCCTTCCAACTTCTCCAATAGGTAGAGGAGGATATAATTCATTACCTGTATCACGAGGACATAAATATTGTTGAAGTTTTACAGTCTCATGGGGCCGCATATACCTCCGCGGCTCCGTAGCACCAGTTAATTGGGAGGTGGGGGGGGGGGGTATCTTTTACACTTAAATCATTAAAAAAAGGGTTTGTCAACTCTGCGGCCATTGCCGTATTTCCTAAATGATACTTTGTTTCACCGTTACTGTCACTAGCTTTTTCAGCATCATCTTGGTGTTGCTTAAGAGCTTTTAAAGTTTCCAATAATGATACCCAGGTAGTTAAAAGATCCAAGGCTTCCTTATCACCCTGTGTTGCACAATATATTAATCTTTTTCCTGTTTTTCCCCATATTTTTACGCTGAACGCAGTTTCAGTGGATGCTGGCACTCCATTGTATTTGCCCATATCATCATCCTCTGTAACATTAATTTGTCCATTTTCTGTCCCTGCTTTTTCAATATCATTTTCCATACGTTCAGCACACCCACTTCCCTTTCATGAGGGTAGCGCCCATGTTCCCAGTGGCTCACCTGGTACGTTAGGTGTCTTATCTGTCCGCGGACTTAGCAGCTCCACCGCCACTCTCAGCTTCACCGGTCTCCGTCTCCACTGCAGCTCCTGCAGTCAAAGTTTCTTCGTGTTTCGTTGATCAATCATCGGGATCACCAACTGTCGCGGTTGAGACGGACAAAGCTACAAGACAAAAATCTTTTTGAAAGCCTGGTCGCACAAAAGCCTTTATTGCCTGTACATTTATACTCTCTTTCCCCTTAGTTTTTTCAGAGGTGTCTCTTTCTAATTGGTTCAGAATTGTTATACAATCTCCTCATTTGTTATTTGTACAGTTCATTATAACTCATCCCTTCTGCCAAAAAGACACGTATGCTTTGTATTGTAGTCAACACTTTCTCAGGGCTTGCTTATCTTGCAGCTGCAACTTTTCTTACTCCTGTCTGTTCTCCCACGGGTAGACTGGAATCCTCCCGAGGTCAAAGCCGTCCTGCTTAGGGGCCTCACCCCCACAGTTGACAATTAACGTTCTTAGTTGCAACAAATTAGTAAGGTAGAAATGTCCAAATGTTGGTATTTGTGGAGGGTTTCATCTGGAAGTCTCTTTCTGTCTTTCTTTCAAAAGGCGTTTTAAAAAAAAGGTAAGTTAAAATCACAAAATATTTTAAGCCCAACATACCCTTTTTTCCTCTGATACTTGGAAACTAACTCAACAAAAAAGCTAGTTATTCTTTCAGCTTTTTTAATAGGAAAAAAACGCAAAACAGCTACATCTTCTTTTCAAATTAGTATTTAAACTGCTAATGAGTGGGCTGCAGTACATGTTGCTTGTGGCAGCTTGATCTGCGGGAGATACTGTATGACTCAGCTCTTGTTTTCAAAGTGTAAGGACAGAATGTGACTTGCGCCCACCAAAGTAATAAAATCAGAGGGGACGGTTTAGCTGTTGCCTGAAATTCTGAGTCTTCTCATATTTCACAGACAAGCTTGGCACTAAGGCAAGTCCAGAACAAAAGGACTCGTTGGGCAGGACTTGGACTCTGTTCTGCATAGGCAATTCATGTCTTTGTCCATACTGAGTTTCTAGAGGGAACAGGCTTATAAATTGGTGTTCCCGATTCCTGGGTTTAGGGTACATCCAGAAAAAAAAAAAAAAAAGAAGAGTAGACTTGCTTTTATTGCAACAGCGAGTGTAACCAACAGAAGTTTTTGATACCTGAAATGGAATCCTGAATTTATGTGTTTGAGCCTTCAAGCATGTTATGTAGGAATAAGCACCAATATGCACAGTTGCCTTGATTCCCAGCTCCTAGTGGTATCAACTCTGTTCAGTATGAATCAAGATGGGCGTGACACCTTTGATACCCACACAAAACACTGATGTGTTTTATGGTCTCTACAGGTAGCAGTTTAAAACTGTTGAAAAATACAAGCACAGGCAGGACTTTCAGAGACTGTTACCCATGACCTTTATGTATGCAAAATGGGGCAGACGAAAAGAAATGAAGGCAATGGGAAAGAGGATTCTTGAAACTAAATATGTGCTTACCAACATGAGCACCTTGACAAGGACGTACATTTCACTTTAACAGTTTTTTGAGCACAGTGGAGGGAAGTAGACAGCTTCTCATGTATCTACATGTGTTTCAGGAGCTAAAAATGCCTAGAGTGTTTTCTTTCAAGGGTAGGTGTTTTTTTACTTTCAATTATGAGCAAAAAGGCAAAAATGCTGCTGTGATGCAAGTAATTGTTGCGTAACAATTCTGATGTGCTTTGAAATGTACTAAATGACATTCACTTTGGCTAATATAATTTTTTTTTTAATAGAAAGCTACTCATCACCTTTATAAAGCCTTCTTTTACCAAGAAAACAAGCATGTCACATCCTCTTTGGCTGTTTAATTTCATTGATTTGCCAGCACAATGTATTGTGTAGAAACTCACTGGTGTGTTTTTCCCTCTAATACTTTTTCATCTAGTTCTCTCTAATGATGGAGTTTCCTCAGAATAATGCACTTCAATCTTCATAGACAGACTGCTGTTGAAGAATGGTTCCAATTACTCCATAAAAAGGAAAATAATTGTGTATTTAAATATGGCTTCAACATTTTTCTCAATGGAAATGCTAGAAATTTTAGGTCACAAAGGAAACATTGCTGACATGTAACAAGTTAAAAATTTTTGAACTTCCTAAAATTATCTGTGTGAGTTTATTCTATTAATAAATACAGTATTGGGAAAATCTTACAGACTGCAATACAAAAAGTTGGAATCATACTCAAGGACTAACTAGGGACCTCTGTAACTCACACAGCTTGGGAAACTAATGCTTCAGCTTCCACAGTAAGATAGCCATAAGCATTGCAGTTCTCTCATACCTGGAGGCAAAAGGGAACACAAAGCGTGATGGTTCTGCCCTGGCACATGCCTTCCTCTGTCTTCTCTATAGCTGCAAGTTTTCAGCCACCTGTCAGGGCTTTTTCTCCACTTTATCAAATAAAATATCAATAGCTACTTCTCAAATCTTCAAACTCTGTACAGATTGTGCAGGGAGTTAACAGGTCAAGATTATTTGAGGTTTAATAATCATCAGGAGAATGATGTTGGGAGTGGTGGGGAGATTTCCTGGTAATGTTGCAGAGCTGTGTGATGTGAAGGATGTGGTGGGATGTGTTAACCCTGCTATCCCAGTGAGGCAGAACTACCAAAGGAAATAGAATATACCTTTTCTAGAATTTGCACAAATCCTACATTTGCTCACTTGTCTCTCCTGCACGCTTTCAGTAGCCAGGTATTTTGGGCCTATGTTCTCCATACAGCATAGATTCAGTCATTTGTAATTGGTGATGTGATACCTGTTCTTTCCCATGAGAGTCACTTTTGTCTCCTTTCTCCATGGAAGTGTACAGGATGGCTTGGTATGGGGCTTGTGCATACCATGGCTAGGCATAGTATTTTGTCAACAGCTTGAATTTTTAGGGAAAAAAAAATGAAGCTTAAGTTTTGATCCTTATAATTAAGATCCCAGGAAAATGTCTGTTTAGTAAGCCTCAGGTTTATTGAACTACTTCTGACTTCAAGGCTTTCTTTTTTTA